AAAAGAAAATACTATAATTTAGTATTCAAAGCTTCGTCGCGGGCATTCATATCTTATCTCATCTGGCGCGCCCAAATGGGAAGCTTCATTCATGGAATTGCACATGGGGGCTATGGGTAGGGGCGATGTCGCCTTTACATTTGGTAATTTGAAAGGTTTCAAAGAAACACAGAGACATAGAGCGAGAATTGACATAGGGAGAGATAGACAGACACACACAGAGAGAGAGAGAGAGAGAGAGAGAGAGAGAGAGAGAGGGAGAGAGAGAGAGGGAGAGAGAGATGAGGGAAGGAGATGTATGTATATATGTATATTGCTGTAGATACATGCGACACAACACAAAGCACACGTAAATCCCATTCAATTCTATTGAGAAATCAGCTTTTGTTTCGCACAATACTAGAGGATTGAGATAGAATAGAATAGGATTATATTATCTTTATACTAAGCAATTCAATAATGTATTATGTACACACTCACACACACACACATATACACGTACTATGTGCCCCTATCATCATTACTCTCATTAATCTCCTTCTCACTCTTTCGCTGCTGCTGTCTTCTTCGCACAATTGATTGGGCTTCACAAACAATTCGCTATTAATTGGCGTTGCATGCAGCAAAGAAGAAGAGAGTAAAGCAACTACGAGGGGCAGAGATGAGACAGAGAGAGAGAAAGAGAGAGAGAGAAACCGATAGAGAGAGAGCGAGAGAGAGGGAGAGAGAGAGAGAAACAGCTTTAGCAACTTTAAACGTAGCTGTCTTGCAATTCTTCCATTGCATTGTTTCGCTTCGTTTTGTTTTGCTAGCGTTTCGCTGTCGAAATAATTTAAGGTTTTCTACAGCAATAAATTTTTGTTGCTGTTTCATTTGCAGCTTTTATATTTATCTTTTGTTTTGTTTATTTGGTTACTTTTCACAAGCAACAGCTGAGAGATTAGCTAATATATGTATTTGTTCATATAGATTTTAGTCAACACTAAAGATGCGAAAAGCCCTTGCTGCTTGAACCAAGTACGTTGAGAACGTTAGCCAGCACTGGCCTTCATCGACACTAAAGAAGCAGAAATATGCTTCAGCTAACACTGAATGTTGGCCAGCACTGGAGATAAGGAGTTTAAAAATGCAGAAATACTCATTATCCAACACTGGAGATACGGTATTTGGCCTAAACTAAAGATGCAGAAATGCATTTAACATTAACCAGCACTGGATATACGGTATGTGGCCTTCATCGACATTCAAGATGCAGAATTGCATTAGGTGTTATCCAACACTGGAAATGCGATATTTGGCCTACATCAACACTAAAGATGCAGAAATACGCTTTAGCCAAGACTAAATAGGTAAAAGTGAACGTTAACGAGCACTGCATATGCATATGTACGATTTAGCCAACACTGAGGATGCAGAATTTAGCACTAGCCAACACTATAAAAGGAGAATATGGTCTTTTTGTTCTTAACCAACACTGGATATACAGAAATTCAGCCCTGATGAACATAAATTAGCTTTAGCCAACACTGCAAACGTAGAGGCAAACCTATGTTAAGACTATAATTATAATCTCTAACTATATCACTTTGTAGCACTCTTCAGGCTAAAGCTCGGCCATAACACCCAATAAGTAAACACCAAATTTTGCAACACTGCGGCAAATGCACAACCTCCATTGCAATCGAATGCAACTGTTTATAGTGGTCAGTCAACTGTGCATAGCAGTGTTGGTTAATTGCATTAGCTGCCCCGCCTGGCACTAATCAACACTGCAGTTGAACTAATTACACAATGTGTATAATAGTATAACAGTATAACGCTTAATTAGGCGTGCTGCACTCACTCGATGCAGCTCATTGACTTCCAACTGTCGCTTTAACTTGAACAACAACTATTTATACCCTGAACCCATTGAAAATGGGAAATCAGGGTATAATGGTTTTGTTGAAATGTATGTAACAGGCAGAAGGAGGCGTGGCAGACCCCACAAAGTATATATATTCTTGATCAGGGCGACGAGCTGAGTCGATTTGGCCCTGTCCGTCTGTCTGTCTGTCCGTCTGTCCGTCTGTCCGTCTGTCCGTCCGTCCGTCTGTCCGTCTGTCCGTCTGTCCGTATGTTTGAACGCGTCGATTTCCGAAGATATAAGAGCTAGAGACTTGAATTTTTTTTTAAAATGACCGTATATACAGCGCGGACGTCGAGTTTGCTTTTAAAATTCGATAAATCATCCCGTTATGTTTTTATCGAGTAAAAACATTCAAGTTCAAATCAGATGCC